TTTTTCTATTTAATTTCCAAATAAATCGTTAAGGTATAGTAGTTTATTGAATGAACTTCCATGTTTAATTTTATGCAGGTTCCATTTCTATTTTTATTAAACTTCTATTTTTATTCAATTTCCATCTCCATTCAATTTCCTTTATTATTTAATTCCCAAATAGATCGTTATGGTGTAGTGGTTTCTCGAATGCACTTCCATGTTTAATTTTATGCTACTTCAATTTTTATTTTTGTTCCACTTCCATTTTTATAGAATTTCCATTTCTATTCAATTTCTTTTTTTAATTAATATCCAAATAGATTGTTAAGGTATAGTGGTTTCTTGAATGAACTTCCATGTTTAATTTTATGCAGTTTACATTTCTATTTTTATTCAATATTTTTATTCAACTTGCATTTTTATTCAATTTCTACCTCCATTCAATTTCCTTTTTTAATTTAATTTCCAAATAGATCGTTAAGGTATAGTGGTTTCTTGAATGAATTTCCATGTTTAATTCTTTGCAGTTTCTACTTCTAGTTTTATTCAACTTGCATTTTTATTCAATTTCTACCTCCATTCAATTTCCTTTTTTTATTTAATTTCCAAATAGATCGTTAAAGTATAGTGGTATCTTGAATGAACTTTCATTTTTAATCTTATGCAACTTCCATTTTTATTTTTATTCAACTTCCATTTTTATTCAATTTCCTTTTGTATTGAATTTGCTTTTTTTATTTCATTTCCAAATTGATCGTTAAGGTGTGGTGGTTTCTTGAATGAACTTCCCTTTCCAATTTTATGCAGTTTCCATTTTTATTTTTATTCCACTTCCATTTTTATTCAATTTCCTTTTCTATTCAATTTCCTTTTATATTTAATTTCCAAATAGATCGTTAATGTATAGTAGTTTCTTGTGTGAGCTTCCGTTCTTAATTTTATGCAACTTCCATTTTCATTTTTATTCCACTTCCATTTTTTTTCAATTTCGTTTTCTATTCAATTTTCACTTTTATTTAATTTCCAAATTTATCGTTAAGGTATAGTGGTTACTTTAATGAACTTCCATGTTTACTTTTATGCAATTTCCAATTCTATTTTTATCCAACTTCTATTTTTATTCAATTTCCATTTTTACTTAATTTCCTTTTTTTATTTAATTTCCAAATAGATCGTTAAGGTGTAGTGGTTTCTTGAATGAACTTCCATGTTTAATTTTATACAGTTTCCATTTCTACTTTTATTCAACTTCTATTTTTATTAAATTTCCATCTCCATTCAATTTCCTTTTTTATTTAATTTCCTAATAGATCGATAAGGTATAGTGGTTTCTTGAATGAATTTCCATGTTTAATTTTATGCATTTTCCAGTTCTATTTTTATACAACTTCTATTTTTATTCAATTTCGATCTCCATTCAATTTCCGTTTTCATTTAATTTCCAATTGGATCGTTAAGGTGTAGTGGTGTCTGGAATGACCTTCCATTTTTAATTTTAGGCAACTTCCATTTTTATTTTTCTTCCACTTCCATTTTTATTCAATTTCCATTTCTATTCAATTTTCTTTTTTAATTAATTTCCAAATAGATCGTTAAGGTATAGTGGTTTCTTGAATGAACTTCAATGTTTAATTTTAGGCAGTTTCCCTTTCTATTTTTATTCAACTTCTACTTTTATTCAATTTCCATCTCCATTCAATTTCCTTTTTTATTTAATTTCCAAATAGATCGTTAAGGTATAGTGGTTTCTTGAATGAACTTCAATGTTTAATTTTAGGCAGTTTCCCTTTCTATTTTTATTCAACTTCTACTTTTATTCAATTTCCATCTCCATTCAATTTCCTTTTTTATTTAATTTCCAAATAGATCGTTAAGGTATAGTGGTTTCTTGAATGAACTTCAATGTTTAATTTTAGGCAGTTTCCCTTTCTATTTTTATTCAACTTCTACTTTTATTCAATTTCCATCTCCATTCAATTTCCTTTTTTATTTAATTTCCAAATAGATCGTTAAGGTATAGTGGTTTCTTGAATGAACTTCAATGTTTAATTTTAGGCAGTTTCCCTTTCTATTTTTATTCAACTTCTACTTTTATTCAATTTCCATCTCCATTCAATTTCCTTTTTTATTTAATTTCCAAATAGATCGTTAAGGTATAGTGGTTTCTTGAATGAACTTCAATGTTTAATTTTAGGCAGTTTCCCTTTCTATTTTTATTCAACTTCTACTTTTATTCAATTTCCATCTCCATTCAATTTCCTTTTTTATTTAATTTCCAAATAGATCGTTAAGGTATAGTGGTTTCTTGAATGAACTTCAATGTTTAATTTTAGGCAGTTTCCCTTTCTATTTTTATTCAACTTCTACTTTTATTCAATTTCCATCTCCATTCAATTTCCTTTTTTATTTAATTTCCAAATAGATCGTTAAGGTATAGTGGTTTCTTGAATGAACTTCAATGTTTAATTTTAGGCAGTTTCCCTTTCTATTTTTATTCAACTTCTACTTTTATTCAATTTCCATCTCCATTCAATTTCCTTTTTTATTTAATTTCCAAATAGATCGTTAAGGTATAGTGGTTTCTTGAATGAACTTCAATGTTTAATTTTAGGCAGTTTCCCTTTCTATTTTTATTCAACTTCTACTTTTATTCAATTTCCATCTCCATTCAATTTCCTTTTTTATTTAATTTCCAAATAGATCGTTAAGGTATAGTGGTTTCTTGAATGAACTTCAATGTTTAATTTTAGGCAGTTTCCCTTTCTATTTTTATTCAACTTCTACTTTTATTCAATTTCCATCTCCATTCAATTTCCTTTTTTATTTAATTTCCAAATAGATCGTTAAGGTATAGTGGTTTCTTGAATGAACTTCAATGTTTAATTTTAGGCAGTTTCCCTTTCTATTTTTATTCAACTTCTACTTTTATTCAATTTCCATCTCCATTCAATTTCCTTTTTTATTTAATTTCCAAATAGATCGTTAAGGTATAGTGGTTTCTTGAATGAACTTCCATTTTTAATTTTATGCAACTTCCATTTAAGGACATTCATTCTTAACCTCTTTACGCATTATGTTATTCACTGGGCTTTAGCTCACTGCTCATATATATATGTAGGTGTACAGGCACCAGACCGCAGCTAGAAGAGTCAGGATAAACCCCAGTTTTGTCGAGTCAACCTATGTACCTCAATGCGAGGTTCCGAGCCTGCCATGCTATGGCTTAGGGAGGTCCAGGCGTGTTGAGGTTATTATTGAAATACTTAGGCCTCGTTTGGCAACCGAATTTTTAGCCAAAAGTCAAAAAAGTTACTAAATTAGCTAAAAAGCCAACACCCATACCAAAAGTCAAAGATTCTTATTTCTCTCTACTTTTTGCACATCTTTTCGTAAAAAGCCAAAAAAGTCATCCCAAACATACTAGTTTTTTTTTAATTCATATTTTAGTCAAATAACTAAAAAATTACTAATTAACCTATTCTCCCAAACGAGGCCTTAAATGCTTTTGCAAACTTGAAATACATGATACATGTTTTGCATCACAAGTCAGTCATCTTAATTTATATATTTATTTTTTGAAAAGTACTAATCAATCAGGTTAAATTTATATAAAGTTACACTGTGGACCCAAAATAAGTTCAGATAACATGGACATATGATTTTCCCCTGATATGCTAATGACGACATTGTTACATGTTGCAGCTGATATATTTCATTTATTGAATTACAGGCTGGTTCAATTCATTGACTCTTTGATCCGCCATTGAAAGGATTACATGAAGACTTGAATTTTGTCAGCCCTCGGATTGGAGAGGTTATATGTCTTTCTCTTTCTGAAATAATCTCATAAAAACTCAATTTTCTTCTAATGAAAAATTGGCTTGGTCTTTTGCTCAACTGTTGGATTCATAATATACAGATTTTCTTTCAGGATCTTTTCACTATGAGCTTTATTAGTAGTTTGGGGTTTTTCTTCTGTCTCTTTGTTTAGTTTTCTTTCCGGTCATGGTATTTATTATTGTTTGCAGGTTACTGTTTGACTCTGTCTTAGTTAGAATGATGTGAATAATTTGAAACATATATACAATTGCTGTGATAAAGGTGGAAGATCCATGTCCTGGAATCATGTATGTGCTACAAGAAACAATGAAATGGACTTATTTACATATGTGACTATTATAGTTGCTTCTTGCTTGCCATTGTTTATCTTTTAGTTTTTTAGTTTTTTTCTTCCAAAGCGTTACTTTCAACAGTTCTTCACAATTATCATTTTGATTAACAGCCAATATGCTTTTCCAAGTTTTAGAGGTGTGGGTCCTATAATATTTCTATCTACAGATACCGAGGAAGCTGAGAAATGAGGGTTTCTGAGTCCATTTCATCCTCGATATCCTGACATTCTTACAAATTCAGCACCCCAATGGTAAATATGTCATTTGCTTGATACTGAAAAATGTTGGGATGTCCTTAACTTATTGAAATCTCCTTGATATCTCTAGTACTGTTAACTAGGACTGTTCTGTCAAGAAAGGATTTTCGTTTATAGCCATATTGCAGTCTCATCACTCATCTCATCTTTACTTTTTTATTTTTCAAAACTTTTATTTTATTTTATGCAGAGAGCTCAAGACTTAGCAATGTTACTTCTTATCGGAATGGGTATTACTTGGATATCTTGTTTGTTCCTGACGAGCTCCTTAGAGTCACCAGCATCGACATTTGCTTTAGTAAACTTGAAGCAGTTTTTTTTTGTTTCTCTTGTTATTCTCGAAAGAGTTTATTTAAAGGGAAATTACAATATAGATCCTAGGGTTTGACCCTTGTCACAAGTTAAACCCTAAGTTTTAATTTTTTTAAAATCAAACCTTGAATTTTTAAAGAAGTTGCAATCTTAATCCGTCTATCGCCATTAATTATTCATAACAGAAAACTTTTCGTTATGAATAATTATTCATAGCAAATGTTCCTTATTTTGTTTATGCTGTAGTTTTTTCCCTTTGTTTTCCTTACACTTTTTTGGGGTTGGTTTTAGGTTGTACTGAAGGAAAATTTAGTTCTTACATTGTTTAGAGATGAGGTGAATTCTACAAGTCACTTATTATAAACGTGGTGTTTACTGAGTATTCACCCAAAACAAGAGAAGATATTTTACTGACCTAGTTTATCATTGCTACATATTAAATGTGCTTACCGAGCAAGTTAAATCATTGTTATATACTAAATGTGCAGTATGTACTATTGCATGAGGATTATCAATTATATGTGTTGCCACGGATGTTGGAGTCAAAGAAGATGGCAAAATCTGGACGTACAAAGCAAAAAGAAGCAGATCTGGAGTATATTGTTGCAAAGCAAGTTGAGAAAATGATAAGGTATAACTCAAACAATAGATGTTATATTTGAAAAGCATTGCACTTGGCATAAGATTTACAGGGCAATAAAGACAATTACAATCTATGAAGGGATTTAACTAATTTGGGAAATGTTTTCTTTTCTCTTTTTCCCAAATTGTTGTTTAAGTTGCATTTTATATCATACATGCACCAAAGCTCCAGTATTTCCTTATGTTCTAGAAGCAGAGATCGTTGCTAACTATCATTTTAAACTAGTACAAAAAGTGTTACTATCAATGATTCCATTTTTATGGATCATATCATCTGTATTTTCACCATAAAAAATTTCTATAATTCTTGTTACAAAAATTAATCAGATTAACTTCATTACATATTACCAATCTGCTTTGTTCCTTCTGATGCTTGTGGAACCATAGCTGTCAAATATTACATTGTTTGTTTTTTTGATATTTCAGCGAAGTGCATGAACAAGCATTATTCTCTTGTGATGCCATACACGCGAGAAGAAGAGAATATTATTAAAGCAAGAGATTGGAAGAATGGTGCTTTTTTTTACTGATCAGCCAAGTTTTGTTGGCTCCTAACATTCAGGTATATTTTATTGTAAAATCTTCAAGTATGCGATGGCAATTTAATCATTTAAAAGATGTTTTCTTCATTATAACTTCTAGGTTATTTTTTGGAAGCTAAATTTGGCTAAATTTTATTCCATGAGCTCTCTTCTCTCTGTTTAGTCAAAGATAAAATTTCCTCAATTTTAAAAAAAGAAGAAAATAATTTGTGAGTCTAAAAAGTTGGGAAGAGAGAAGTGCAAATGTTTTGGCAAAGGAAGTGGTAGATGTTTATGAGATTATGGTAGTGTGTCATTTCCCCTTTTTAATCACCAAGCTTTGTGTTGTTTCCTGACTTCTGTCTTTCATGGTACGAGTTCCTATTGGTATGGAGTTCTGTACAAAATCATATGCAATTTATTGTTTTATTGTGTGATTTGTCACTTGGATTTTGTGTTTCTCATTTCTTGTTTAGTTGGATTTAGAAAAAAAAATGAGGTAAAAGATGAAGATGGAAGATGGAAGATGGAAGATGGAAGAAGAGAGAGGGAGAAAACATCGTACGGCAAATGAAAACAGAGTAATTTGGGGTTCTCTCCCTCATTCACTAGTACGGACTCCTAGGGTTTCTCCTTCACAAGACTCATCTCTCTCTAACCACGTGTGTAGGTAACATTAAGAGATCCCTATTTATAAACTATGACGAGTGTTTGGTGTGTAATTGAAACTTCTACATGAGATTAGTGTTTGTTTGGTAAGAAAAATACATTAATGTCCTTAAGTTTCCAAAAATTACAATTAGGCCTCCAAAACTAAAATGTAGCCCTTAATCCTGGTTCTTTAAAATTAAAAATATCTCAAATTTGTTTTTTTTTTGAAATAGAATATCATTATTTTTATTTGAAAATTACAAAGTTCTCTGAAATTTTTAAAAAATAACAAAAATATAACAATTTCCCGAATGTGCGTCTGCAATTGTTTCCGAAGAGGTATTCAATTGTCATCCTACTCATTTAGGTATTGCATGCTCATACAAATAGGGAAACCACATGTCATAAGTTACATGGCAACTTTCTGTTTTCTTGTTGTCCTAGGACTCTAATGTGTGATGTCATTCACTTTTTTACATCAATGACTATTTTTCATGCTGGATGAGGAAAGATGAAAAATCCTGTTGCAGTGAGTCACAATGTTGGAATGATTATTAAATTGCCATCAAATGAGCTAAAAATATATTTCAGGAAGTTTGTCCTAGTTATTTAATGTTCTGAATCAATTAAGATACTAGTTTATTTTATTTGGTGAATATGATTACTCTTTAAATTATGTATGATGTTTAAGAACCCTGTGAATTATTTCTGTACTGACATGGACACTTCTAGAACAATAATCCTTTCTGTTTTCAGTGATTTATTTCACAAAATTTATATAACAAATACCTGCTACATCTTGATTGAATTTATCATAATTGATGCTCTGCATTGCATATCTTCATCTAGAATACCAGGACTCTGAGTGGTCTACAGAATGACAGTTGCTTTAATGAGTACATGTTACTAAAATTGGTCGAGATGCAGTCCTGTATGTCGAGTCTCTTTTCTTGTATAAAAAGCTCAATGCCAATGTATAAGCTAGACAAGATGCAAGGGGAACAACAAAGTAAGGGTTGCAGGTCACTGGAATTGGCGTTTTGCATTCTTGGGGGAGGCAATTGTGATGGTTCCATTTGCTATTCTAGGTTTGTTATAAAACCTTTACAGTTGAAAGGTATATGTTTGTGTTAGTTTTAATTTTTTTTTTATGTAATCTATTACCATTTCCTAGCTATTCTTAACAACTTGTGGATACAGGTTTTTACCCTGCTGGATCAAAAAAAAGCATTGACTGGTACAGAGATAGCTGTCATAGAACTTAAAGGTGTGACACGTTATGATTACTGTGCATGGGATCTTTTCAGTATAATTGCACTTTTTTTCTTCTCTCTTTTCAGTTTACTACATCACTATTATGTAAGAACCAATGTGCAAAAGCCAAGACAATGGGTGCTATTGAGAACATCTACAGTAATCCAATATACACCAAGGATCAAGCAGGCATGCAGGTTGATGAAAATGATTATTCATCAGAGGAATCTTATTGACAAACACTTTTGTAGTATATTTTTCATAATTTACTTTTCAAATCACTACAAGCATTTCATTTAATATGTTTGGTTGTGTTGAACAAACGGGACCTCGATTGATCTCCGGTTAGAAAATTAGAAGGAAAATTGTAAAACACAAGACTTTAAAGGCCCGTTAGGGGGCCAAAATTGCGAAATGACCACCGAAACCACCGAAACTTGGCACGGACAGCTTGTTCAAGCCTAAATAGAGTTGTAGGAAAAAACGGGACCTCTATTGGATCTCCGTTAGAAAATTAGAAGGAAAATTGTAAAACACAATATAAAAGGCCCGTTCGGAGGTTGAAATTGTGAAATGACCACCGAACCACTGAAACTTGGCACGAACAGTTTGTTCAATGCTAAATAGACTTGTAGGAACAAACGGGATCTCGATTGGATCTCCGGTTAGAAAATTAAAAGGAAAATTGTAAAATACAAGACTTAAAGGCCCGTTCGGGAGCCGAAATTGCGAAATGACCACTAAAACCACCGAAACTTGGCACGG